GCTGGAGCAGCTGGTCAGCTTCCTCAGCGGGAAGGACGAGACCGAGCTGGCCGAGATCGACAGGGCCCTCGGCATCGACAAACTCGTGCAGGTACAGCCAGGGAATGGGATTGGGAATGATGGGAATGGGATTGGGATTGGGATTGGGATGGGAATGTGGGAGGGATGTGAGACCGAGCTGGCCGAGATGGACAGGGCACTCGGCATCGACAAACTCGTACAGGTACAGCCAGGGAATGGGATTGGGATTGGGATGGGAATGGGATTGGGATGGGAATGGGATTGGGATTGGGATTGGGATTGGGATTGGGGATTGGGATGGGAATGTGGGAGGGATGTGAGACTGAGCTGGCCGAGATCGACAGGGCACTCGGCATCGACAAACTCGTACAGGTACAGGGATGGGATGGGATGGGATGGGATTGGGATGGATGGGAGTGATGGGAATGGGGAGCTGGAAGGGGGGTGGGAATGCAGGAACCACTCCTGGAATTGCTGGAGGAGGATTCCCAATGTTTGGGAATGGGAAGCCAGGTGGGAGCGGGAATGTGAAACCACTCCTGGGATTGATGGAGGAGGAGAAGGAGAGGATGGGAATGGGGAGTTGGAAGAGGATTGGAAATGTGGGAGACCCTCCTGGGTTTGCTGTAGGAAGAGGAGAAGGGATGGGATGGGAAAGATGGGAATGGGGAGATGGGAATGATGGGAATGTGGGAGGGATGTGAGACCGAGCTGGCCGAGATCGACAGGGCCCTCGGCATCGACAAACTCGTACAGGTACAGGGATGGGATGGGGATTGGGAATGATGGGAATGGGATGGGAATGGGAATGGGATGGGAATGTGGGAGGGATGTGAGACCGAGCTGGCCGAGATCAACAGGGCCCTCGGCATCGACAAACTCGTACAGGTACAGCCAGGGAATGGGATTGGGAATGGGATGGGGATGGGAATGGGAATGATGGGAATGGGGTGGGACGAGATCGACAGGGCCCTTGGCATCAACAAACTCGTACAGGTACAGGAATGGGATGGGATGGGATTGGGATGGGATTGGGAATGATGGGAATGATGGGAATGGGGTGGGAAGGAGGGAACCACTCCTGGGATTGCTGGAGGATTCCTGGAGGAGGAGGAGTCCCAGTGGATGGGAATAGGGAGCTGGAAGGGGGAGTGGGAATGAGGAAGACACTCCTGGGTTCATGGAAGAGGAGGATTCCCAGTGTTTGGGAATGGGAAGCCAGCTGGGAGCGGGAATGTGAAACCACTCCTGGGATTGGTGGAGGAGGAGGAGGAGAGGATGGGAATGGGGAGTTGGAAGAGGAGTGGAAATGTGGGAGACCCTCCTGGGTTTGCTGTAGGAAGAGGAGAAGGG